GTGCCCTGGCATTCTTTAAATATCAAAATAACTTCCCTTAGCAGATGGCACTAAATATTGAATCTGAAAACAAAACCAAAGACTCCTTTAGATGTTCTTTTAGCTAATTAGGAAGGTTCTGCGCTTGCCACTGTCTGAAGTAAAGCCAGAGTTCTGCAACACTACAGGCATTACTGATGAGGCTTCAAATCTTCTTGAAAAACAAATTAAGCTCCCAAGGATGTTGCTGGGCAATTTCCATCATAAGAAGTCTGGTGTTCTTCCTGCTATGGTAGCAAGGCTGTTTGAAAAGAGAAGTTCTCCTTCATTCCATGCTACTAAAAATATTATTTAGATTTCTTCTTGGTTTCTGAGGTAGATATTTTCCCATTGAAAGTACAACATGAAGGAACTCTATCCTAGGCCCATTACAGCAGACTGCAGAAATCCTGCCTATTGTCTACTGCAGTTCTGGTTATCCATTATATTGACCATCAGGAAACATCACCCGCCAGATTTACCTTTTCTGGGATTCATCAGACATAGGAAGCAAGTTGTTATTCTATGGAATTCAAACTCTGTATCAGGAATAGAATTCACCGACCTTCAGATGACCATATACAGTATGTGCAGATGAAGCTTTGGGCATCACATAATGTAACATGATATAACATTGTGGTCTGAACTTCTTGAAATACCATCTGCCTATCTATGTTTGATGAATCCCCAAGGGATGAAACTGATGCCTCCTAGTAGTTAATGTAAATGAAATCACTACACAGGATATACACTGTGTAAAATTAGAGAAATTTCATACACACACACAAACACACACATACATACCAAGAGGGTGGGTGGAAGACCCTGTATGCAGGGGCACGACATAATCTAAAACCAGTTATCCCTCTGCTTTGAGTGTTTAAGGGAAGATGGACTGTTTATTCCATTCTAGTTATAGTTCTTTCATCACTTGAACATTTGGGTGTGCTGTTTACACAATTATGAATCTAAAGAGATCATAGGGATTTATAATCACAGACATCTATTTTTGTTTGTTTTTACCGGAATGTTTAAACTTATCTTCAGATTGTTTCTATTTTAGTATAATCTATGTCTCATTAGTGAACCCCATTTTTCATGTGTGTTATAGAGGCTAGAAAGTAACAACTCCATGAATACACTCTCCATAGTCAATGCTACCAGGTTTACCACTATTCATTTCTTTGAGCTGGGGGGGAAAGGAAGCAGCTTAAATTCCTTCAGAGGTGTCCCATACAAGTAATCCATAATGCTCATGCCTTGTGATATTAAATGAAATCTGTACAATCCACTCCACTGATTAACGTACCTCCTTCATCATTTTCATGGCCCAACAAATTGTCACCAAATGTAAGAGGAGGAGGAGGAGACAGCAGAAAAACATAGCTTCACTTTTTTTTGGTTTACCCCACAGCTTCAAGAAAACTGAAGGAAGAAAATTGAGAGAAGCTGAGAGGATGGAAGGATAAAGCTGGAGTTGCAAATATTGGAGGGCGGAATAGATTAGCAGATTTTTTTTCCCCTGAGGTTCTGATTGCCTCTGAAAAAAAATACTAAGTGTAATCTAAACTAATTTATAATTTTTAGATTAATCTGAAATGAGATTCACGTAAATACAAATGTGTGCTCCTGAGATAGGTTGCAGCTTTTGTGTATAGCCAAGTCACATTGTTGAGACAATTTCCATGTGGAAGATGATTTTCCTTCCTGGAATGATGACCTGGTTAGCTACATACCATCACAGGCAGGTTGGACTGCAAGTTAAGAGAATATTGGCTGATTAAGTTTTAAGAAGCATTTTATTGAAGAGAAGGACGAGGGGGGACATGATAGCAGTGTTCCAATATCTCATGGGTTGCCACAAAGAAGAGGGAGTCAAGCTATTCTCCAAAGCACCTGAAGGCAAGACAAGAAGCAACGGATGGAAACTAACCAAAGAGAGAAGCAACCTAGAAATTTCTTGACATTTAGAACAATTAATCAGTGGAACAACCTGCCTCCAGAAGTTGTGAATGCTCCAACACTGGAAGTTTTTAAGAAGAGACTGGACAATTATTTGTCTGAAATAGTATAGGGTTTCCTGCCTGAGCAGGGGGTTGGACTAGAAGACCTCCAAGGTCCCTTCCAACTTTATTATTATTATTATTATTATTATTATTATTATTATTATTATTATTATTATTATTATTATTATTATTATTATTATTATTATTATTGTTGTTGTTGTTGTTGTTGTTGTTGTTGTTATTATTGTTGTTGTTGTTGTTGTTGTTGTTGTTGTGGTTGTCATCATCATCATCATTATATTATTATTATTATTATTATTATTATTATTATTATTTACATAGTCCTGTATATTACCTAGACTATTTAAGTAGTTAGTCATGCACACACTTGAAACAATGAATCAGAATTATGCATGAAATAACTAGCCATAGAGGTGGGAACTAATACACTGTTTCTAAAAATGATGGATAAAAAGAACAAAACACAAATATATTCTCACTTGCCATTTATTGTTAGAAATTGCCATGTAGAGACATATTGGGTTGAGTAATGACCAGATTCATGTGGCAAAAATGATAACCAACATATGGCATGAGGAGCAGCTGCTCAAGGCATCTGGGTACATCTGGCCTAATTTCTATGCATCTGCCACAGCCTCTGCCGTTCCAATCCCACAGAACAAGTTTTGGTCAATCTCCAATTCTTTTCTCACTTTCAGGAAAATCCAATTCTGAAATCAAGGTGGTGAGAATACTAATAACAAGGCTGCCTCCTGTTGTTAGTGAACCTTTAACATGGTGCTGCTGAAGAGACCCTGTTTTATCTGGGAATCCTATAGCCATATCTTCTACAACTTCTGTTATCACAAACTCTGTAGGGTGCCCAATTGCTGTTTACTTATTGCCTCTTCCAATCCCTCATGTCTCCTTCACTCTTGTGCCCCATGAGTAGTTGTAAGTATGAAAGTTAATGTGGCATCTTTCTATCCCATCCTGTAACATGTTTTTTTTTAAAGTCTGCATAAGCTTCTCCCTACTTTTTTGGTTCTCTCCCCCAACTTTTAGCAGATGCTATAGGCCTGGCTTAATCATCATTCTACAGTATAATCCATACGTGCCGTACCTAGAGAGGAGTGGCCAACAGCAATGACAGCAAGTCATAGTTGGCACGGCTCAGACTTTACTAGGAATGTGGGAAGCAGGTTCACCAGGTCAAGGGAGAGAGCCACAAGAGGAGCAATGGATAGAAACAGTGGGAAAGCAGTTATTGACGCAGCAAGAACTTTCCTACGGAAGCACTGGACAAGGGACTGATGCCTGCTATGGCATGTTTGGCAATGTATCTTTATTAGCACCAGGGCTTTCAGCAGATGCCCCACCATGCCCCCTGAGTAATGACAATGAGTTGCAGCAAAGTTTCTCAGGCCAGGCATTCAGTGAATAATAATGCCCTAATGTGCACTCAACTCAAGACTCCCCCCTCTTTAGACATGTGTACAATTTTATTCTTTCAGGCTTTCAGCATGCATATGCTTACCATACACAGAGACAGATGTGTAATCTGTGAGAAACTGGAAGTATTTAAGGATCTATTGTTTGTTGTTGGAGGTAGTGAGAAACTTCATCCATGATCTGAATACTGATTCATTGGACAACCTGGCATCATCTTCTCTTGATCGATCTTGTTTCACAGAATGGCACCAAGGGACTCAGAGAAGTGGCACTGAAGCACCAATACCTAGAGTTTCTTAAATATTTGTAGGACCCAAACAGCTATATACAGGATGAGAAAACATGCCACAAGGAACAACTTGTGCATACAAGTGATAAGGTGATGTTGCAAAACACCAGTGTTGGGAAATAAGTTAAGAGCTGTAGGGACAAACACTCTGATTAGCCTCGAGAAAATATTCTTTCTTGTGACTTTGTGTACCAACTCAGGGGTAGAGGCAGGATGAAGTCTAGAGGGTAAGAGCTATAGTAGATATTTACATACATACTTGAAATATGCTTATTGGGCTGGACTAAGTTAAGCAACTAAATAAACCATTATCCCACCTCTCTACCCACAATGCACCTTTAAAGCCTCAGAATATCTTTAATGCTCTCCACGATCCCCGAATTGTACTGAAATCTTTTGGAGTTGCCAGAGTCAATGAGGTGCAGACTTCCAAATTAGGAAGAAATTATAGTCTTCAGTAGTATTCATGCTACTGTCCCAAACTAAGGAGCAGTTCCATTCTGTGGCTCTATATTCTTTTCTAGTGCCCTGAAAGAAATAGAGCATAAGGCATGTTCTATGGTTTCCGAGAATAGAAGACATCCTAGCATTGGTGAAAAGACATATTTTGGAAGTACCAGCACTAGAGGTATAGGAGAGAATGCAGGCAACTGAAGTGGAAGCACTATGGACACTGAATATTCAAAGCATATAGCATGCCTGAAGTTCAGAAAAGGAACACACATAGCACCCAAAGACAGGAGCTAAGGTGGCCTGTTAAGGAACAAGGCAGGAACATTCAGTGAAGGGGTTATAACTTGGTTTTAAAAATTCTCCTGTTCCTTCAGCCTACCCCATCCCAGCTCACTATGTGGGGTTGTTATTTGCTGATCACTTGACTTCAGCTAGTAGTTGTAGCCAGTTCAGATAATGAGCCCATAGACTGAGGACAGAATTGGAGTAATAATCAGGGGCCATCATGTCTGCAGGAACTCACAGGAAGTGCCAATATTTCAGGAGATAACAAACTCAGTCATAGAAATTGAGCTCCTTCAGGGGTAACAGCCACTCAAATCAAAGTCAGGAATCCTCTGGGATGCAGGATTTCACTGACCATTGTAAATCCCAGGGGTGTCATGATACTCCTTGCTGGCATCTTGACCAGCTCAGAAGCGGGTGCTCTGATAGCGCAGCCTGCGAATCTCAGAGACTCCATCGTCCCGGCAGTACAAGTCCCTGCCGGGACTTTGTGCCAGTCACCGGCCCCCTGCTCCCCCACCTCCCCCAGCACTGCTGCTGCTGCTGCTGGTGCTGCCTGAGCTGGAACTGCCGCAACGATCTTCATAGATAGAAATCTCAATCTGAAAGCAAGAAGATAAGGACACCAAACAAATGCATGAAAATCCTGCTCCACCCCACATTCAGCTAAGGAGGTCCTCTCTCAAATACACTTTCTCCACTGGAACTCAGTGGGTCACCTTGTTGTTGGCTAAGCAGGTACGGAGACTGTCAACTCTACAATGAGCATGGCTGCAGCCATTTTTTCCTCCAATCTGTGTCATCCATGCAACTGTGCTCTCTTTCCTCAGACCACCTTTTGCTCTTTCACAGACTCAGACACAGACACACAGACACACAGACACACGGACACAGACACAGACACACAGACACACAGACACAGACACAGACACACAGACACACAGACACACAGACACAGAGACACACAGACACAGACACAGACACACAGGGAGGCAGGGAGGGAGGGAGAGAAAAGAGCAGATCACCTTACTTTTTTTCTGTTCCCAAATCAAGCTACTTGTTAGTGTCTTTTCACATACACATCGCAGTCAAATCCCAAGCTGGCAAGCCAGTGCATAGTTAAGTCTTCAGTCAATGTGGAGTCCATCTTCCTTTGCCCTGCTCTTCTGTAGTGCAGATAACCAGGAAGAGCTACAGCACTACAATAGTCTGTCCACTTCCTAAGAACTAATGTCTGGATTTATGTAACATACTTGAAACCTTAGCAGTTGCATGCACACAGTATGCTAACCTTAGTTTTAACTTAATTGCAAATGAAAATGGCTTAACTTAACAACCAATTTAAATGTGTTTTGCATGGGAGAAATGAGCCAAGTTGGGGTAACAATAGCGAACACAAAAACATGTGTCTCTGAAAGATGCAGAATTTACTTAACACTTCATTTCACTTCATGGTAAATTAGATGATAACTGTGCATTGTGTAAAATGTACACTGTATGTTTTATCCGGCATCCATTGTTAAAGGTAGACTTGAACCCAAGACTCCCCCATTCTTAAACCACTAAACCCTACATTGTTGTGCTCATGAAGTCATCTCTTGTATCCTATTGTGAATGTGAAACCCTTTGGGAATCACTATCATTATCATTTACAAAGATTGAAAAATAAATAAATAATATCCATATGAACCCAAATCTCAGTAGAGATAGAAAAATAATAACATAGGTTATAATGAGTGTCTGCAGCATAAATCAGAGCTAGCTACCTAGTTTTAGACGATAACGTATTCTAATTTCATCCCTGACTTCAACCAAGAAAGATACAACTCTCATGCCCCGCTCCACTGGGTCAGTCAGCAGAAGCCCTCGTGGAGCATAGATTTTCTCATTCTGCTCCTGGATATACTTGGAGATCTTCTTCAGAACCTGAAGAAATAATTAGAGAGCCAATCAGAACCAAATGAATACCTGTTTCATGTTCCCAGATAATACATTGTACACCTTTGAGAAGAAAGTATATTAAGCAAAGTTCCAAGTTCTTGTAGAAATCGTGCACTATTATAAGAATGAACAAAACAATCATCCTTGCACTTATTTATCCATCATATTTTATGTTCACATTCAAGATTTTAGGGACTTTCCTCGGTTCACCCATCCACCCAGCCCTCCCTCCTACCTTCTCTCTCCTAGTACAGTTCTTTCCATGCCTTGTCAGATGACAGTCATCCTCCTTCTGAACATGGGCTTTGTATCATCTCAAAATAATACTGTTTTGGAATCCTACTAAAATGTGTCCAAAATAGCACTAAAACCCGTATCAATATTATCCTCTGAAAATTGAACATTTTGTCACACAGGTTTTTTCCCAAGGCTGACTTAAAGTGCTGTCATCCAGACCTGTGCAAAACACAAAGCCAGAGTGAGATAGGACAGATCCATCATTACTAAAACTCACCTCTCTCTCCAGCCACCTTGCAAAGATAGACTGGCAGCAGTTTCCCTGTTGTCTAGTGACGTTTGTGGGATGTAAGTCAACCAAAGTCCAGGGAATCCGTACCTATTCTCCTTAACATACCCTGTACATGATAGATAAGGGTAACCTTCTTTGCCAGCATTTTGCCTGTGGCAGGATTGTATAAAGTTTATTTTATACTAATGTAGACATCTATCAGTAAAATAATTGGATGGTAGCACTTTAAGTCAACTTTGGGGAGGGAACCTACGTGACAAAAGCTACAATTTTCAGAGGATAATATTCTTTTGAACTATCTACCTAGTATATCCATAAGAAAGGCTGAGCGCAAAAGAATTCTTTGAACTATGGTGCTGGAGAAGACTCCTGCGAGTCCCCTGGACTGCAAGGTGATCAAACCGGTCAGTCCTAGAAGAGATCAACCCCGACTGCTCTTTAGAAGGCCAGATCCTGAAGTTGAAACTCAAGTACTTTGGCCACCTAATGAGAAAGAAGGACTCACTGAAGAAGAGCCTAATGCTGGGAAAGATTGAGGGCAACAGAAGAAGGGGACGACAGAGAATGAGGTGGCTGGATGGAGTCACTGAAGCAATAGGCGTGAGCTTAAATGGACTCCAGAAGATGGTAGAGGACAGGAAGGCCTAGAGGAATGTTGTCCATGGGGTCACGATGGGCCGGACACGACTTTGCAACTAACAACAACAACAACCTAGTATATGGAATTTAACATCTGGACAATATAAATGGATTCTCTGTGCTCTTACTATGGCTAAAAGACTGATCTTGCAGCACTGGAAAACTAAATGTATGGCTCCATTTATTCAATGGATTGAAGATCTGGTTGCATTTGCCACTTATGAGTTGATTGCCCATAGATGTAGATTTTATATAGACAAGTATGACCATATAATGGGACTCATTTATACAGAATACAGTAGGTTAAAAAAACCAGCTGTATAAATGTATTAGAGATATATATACATATTTGTACGATCCAATCTGGATCAGTCACCAGGACCAGAAATTTAGTCTTCCAAGCTTTTGAACTCGAACTGGAGTCCATCCTTAGGGAACTTCTCTCTCACCAGAATACATATACATATATATACATATTTGAATTAGACAAGTATATATAAAATTGAAATTGTGTATTGTTATAATGACATTCATTTTCTTTTTTGTATTTCTTTCCCTTTTTTAGAGCACTTGTTATGTACGTAACTCCATTTTATCCTTGTGTTTGGCTCTTTTTTCCTCTTAATTGAAAAGCAATAAAACATACATTTTAAAAATATGCCCAGGGATTAAATCCTAGGATTCTTTTGAAAAGAACCCTGAGTTATAGAATTAGAAAAAAATTGCATGGTATGCAGTGCAAACAAGGGCAAATTGCTTGGCCACTGCACATTATTTATTTCAATAACTTGTAAAATTAAAAGAGTTAGCTTGATATTATTTCAACTCCCTACTTTGGGAGACATTAGTACAGCATAATAAACCCTTGTGATATTAATTATTGTAAATATTCTCCAAACCTTCTCATAGTGGGTCTCCATGCAAAGGAAGATGAAATAGGCTGTGGCACAGGCCAGACATCCCTCCAGATAAGAGCTGCCCCCAATTTTCTCAGCCTCCGCATAGAAGTTGTTCAGTGTCTTCACTGTTTCCTCAAAAAGTTGCCGCTCAATCTTTGGAAGGGGAAAAGAGAGGAAATGACATAACAGTGATATGCAGCATGTCATTTTAATGGCTACTGATGTTCTCCTTTATGCAAATGCCAAAAGGCAGAACAGAGAAATTGATAAATCAAAATATGTTGTAAGAAATATCCATTTATGTGCGAACATTCATATATATTTTTTAAAGAAATCACTCTCCTACTGTATATTTAATGTGTGATTGCTACAGTTAACAGGTTAGGAAAAAAACCTTCAAAGTGTCAGATTTATTCACAACTCTTAAGATACTCAACCTCACCCTTTTGCACTCTGTTACCAGCTAACAGCAGAACTGTTGTGTCAGGTGTTAATTTTATAGGAGATTATGGTCCCTTGGTGGGAAGATTATAATGTGTTTTAACGGGGTGAGCTGCCTAGGTGAGATAGGCAGCATGTAAATTCTTTAAATAAATAAAGTAAAAAAGTCATTGAAACAATCATAGAATGTTAATGGGACATCATAGCTTAATCTGAGCTCCAGTCTACTCATCGGTTTGATATAAAAGTTTGCTATAGTCTGTAAGCCAGGAGAACCATATGAAATATCAGATTTTACCCGACTGTCCAGTTCAGGGGGGAATTTGGTCTGGAATTGACAGATGGTCCCATCACTGTAGTCTCGCTGTATAAAAACCTTGGTAGCCAATGAAGCACTCCTCCGCAGTTCTTGGAGATTGTGGACCTGAAGAAAATTAAAAACAGGAGGTTACAATGTGGGAAAATCTTTCTATACAGTAGTACTGGTGGGGGCTCACACCGTATCCTGATACTTGCAGATCAAATGCATGGACTTTTTTCATTCCTGGATTGCTCTATGCTTCACTTTGTTCTTTTCTTCATTTTCATTCAAAGACAACACATAATTCTTCCTTAATCACATTGCATACTAAAGTCCTCCCCAAGATAATTTACATACTGATAGGTTGTTTTGTTTGCTGTCTTAGGGCATACATGCTGTTCTATAACATAGTAAGGGAACAACTCAATGCACTCAGCATCACAAAAGAGTAAGGGTCTTAGAGCATTTAATCTTATACATTTCAATTGTTCTTGAAGCCACTGAAAAGCTACTTAATTATCAGGATTGTTTAAGAAAAAATATTAATGGCCTAACTACCATAAGTAGACTCAATGATTTCTGCTTCCATGGAGATTCACACCATCAGCACCACTCAGATAGATGATCATTCAAATATGTATGTATGTAGTTACTGATCATTGCACATACTGTTAATAGGAACAATTGGAACTGGGACAATCTCTAACTAGCACTAAGATCTGCATTAAAATGCATACTAA